GCCGCCATCAGCCCCAGAGCTTGCGACGCGCTGGTCTGCTCCCACCAGTGAACTCCGCAAAGTCCGCCCCAGCCGGCGCTGGCCGGTTTACTAAACGCTTGCTGGGGGTTGGACGACCACCCATCGCATGCACGTCCTCCAGCAGAAGCTGCGCGCGTTTGGGTGCCAGGCGGCACCCGACTCGTTCCCTCACTACCTCTCCTGCCCTGGCCTCCTGAGCCTCCTCTGGTCCCCCGACCCCCCCCCCGCTCCGCAACGCACTTACACATTGGGGCTTGGGCCCCGCCTCCGCCTATCCGTCTGATCTTGACAGCGACCTCTCGCTGCTGCGGTTTATCCAGCGGACACCGCTGGCCTTCAATCTGCACAACAAATTGAAGCACGCCACGCCGACCCCAGCCACGATAGCTGAGGGGTTGAGCGCCGCCAAAGCATTGCTCTGGAAGTAGGCCGCTCCAGTGGACTGACGCGTGCGGACAATTTGCCCTCGTCTCGCGTCTTGCCCGCTTGTCCTCGTCTTTTCCTCTTGGAGTACGTGCACTCCTCGCCAAAGCATTGCTCTGGAAGTAGGCCGGCTCCAATGGACTGACGCGTGCGGACAATTTGCCGTCGTCTCGCGTCTTGCCCGCTTGCCCTCGTCTCTTCCTCTTGGAGTACGTGCACTCCTCCTCCTCCTCCTCCTCCTCCTCCTCCTCCTCCTCCCCCTCCTCCTCCTCCTCCTCTTCCTCCTCCTCCTCCTCCTCCTCCTCCTCCTCCTCCTCCTCCTCCCTCCCCCTCCTCCTCCTCCTCCTCCTCTTCCTCCTCCTCCTCCCCCTCTTCCTCCTGTCCCCCCCTCCTATCATTCCCCCTCCTCTCCCTCCTCCTCCTCCACCGCCTCCTCTCCCTCCCCTCCTCCTTTTCCCCTCCTCTTCCTCTTCCTCCGCCTCCCAGCCATTTTCATATATTCATATCCTTTTGGCCGCTCGCACCCAGCACTTGGAAGTGGCGCTGCGGTGCAGGGCCGCCCATGTGTCACAACACGCGGCGGCAGAGATGGCCAAGAGCGCCAGCATGTCAGAGTGCGGGCGTGCGGGGGCCGCGAAGTCCCGCTTCCAAACCTCCTCGGATCCCCTGGCGAGCGGTGTGGACGCGAAGCTCCGCATCATGCGCCCCGTCAGCAGAGGAAGCAGCCATCGTCAGGGCCAGCGCCCCGTCTCCAGGGAGGAGGAGGAGGCCGACGACGAGGAGGAGGAGGAGGAGGAGGAGGAGGCCACGGCAGGACTGGCAGCAGGGCACGGTCGGCAGCTTCGCCGCTAAGACCGAGCCCAGCACCGAGCCTGGCGGCTGCCGCAGAGGCAGCCGCGGACGCCCCCACGCCCCCGCGGACGCACCGGTGCCACGACCCAGGCCACAGCCAAGGCTACGCAGGTCAAGACTACGATCCCCGTACAGCACCCCAAGCGAGTACGCCAGCTGCTGGCGCTGCTTTTTCTGGGTCTAGTGGGTCTGGCGGGTCTGCTCCTCCCACCCAAGCAGCTCCCGACGACGTTGACTGCTACGCAGAGGATCCAAACCTGGTCGAGCATTTCAGAAACTGTGGGCTCGATGCAGACTCAGCCCGTGCCAAGCACTTATTGGAAGGCCTACAGAAGGTTGCCAGGAAGCCCAGGGTTTGACGAGGAGGGTGATTTTACAGCATGGTCAAACAATGATGTTCATTGTGTTTCGGCGCAGACGTTGACGGAGTGAATTCGTCATGGCTCGACTTTGTTATCCCCTCATCTGCCTGCAGGAGCAGAGGCTCAAACTTGCCGACCGGATGCAAGCAGCATCCAGGTGGTCACCCAGTCGAGGACTCCATCACAACATTTTCCAAGTTCTTTCCACGGGTGGCGCGAGCATTGAAGGCAGCGACGGGTGCGCAGTCTTGTCGATATGAACAGCATCCCCCACCCCATGCTCGGCGAAGTTGGTCCTCCCCCACAGGTTTTCAGTAATGTGCCTCAACGTCGGTTGCGCGTTGCCTCTCGATGTGTGCTCGGCGTACCCCACCACCAGCATTGGCTTCAGCGGTGGGAGCCTCGACCATCTCGAGGGCAGCATGGCCATCATCGGGAAACTCAAAGGACCTTGGCTGCTGGTGGGAGATTGGAACATGTTACCCGACGAGCTGGAGGAATGGGCCAGGATTGCTAAGGCTGAAGACTTTCGACAAGGGAGCCGACGCGTGCAGCCAGGGAGATGGACTTCGGCATCGTCTCGACAGCGACCGCCCATTTGTCTTCAGAGCTCAAGCAGTGCAAGGCTCCACGGCCAAAACTCCCATACCCGTCGTCATCACTTCCCTGGGGCTTCGTATCGAAGCATCTGTATCGAGAGCGGTGTACCCAAAGGAGTTCCCCATCGAGAAGCCCATCCCCGTGCGACCTGCGCCTGGCGATGCGCAGCCTGAGAATTGCATCTGGAGAGTTGGACATCAGCCACCCCGGGCTCTTGGATGGACGTGCAAGTATTGGCCGGACAAAGTGGAGTGCGACCTAACCCAGTAGCATGATAGCCTAGCGTGGTGCCAGCACAGCTAGACAGGGCCAGATTTGAAGGTGATGGTCATAGCTTTCGAGACGGCTTGGAAGCAAGACGTCAGGGCAGGCTCTTCCCTCGAGTACCAGCAGTGGTCCTCCTGCCTCTCGGCTTCCACTCGCCTGCACGCGATCGGCTGCAGCATGAGGGAGAGGGGGCCTCGGCGCATCAGCATGCGCGAGGGGGCCTCCTTGGCGCTTGTAAGGGGGCCCCCCATGCTGGAAAGCGGACTCGGTGATCTGGGTGCGAGCTGCTCCCGGGGCAATCCCACCGTCGGGCCGCCCTTCGGGCCACCGCAGGAGAGCCGAGCTGGTCGGGGTCCTTCGCTGGGCTGCCAGGCCTCGGAGGGGGGGGGGCGTCTGGTGGGGCGTCGGGCCCTGGCTCTGCTGCTGCAGAGGGAAGAAAAATAGTGCTATGAATAATAATAATAATAATAATAATAATAATAATAATTATAATAATAATAATAATAATAATAATAATAATAATAATAATAATAATAATAATAATAATAATAATAATAATAATAATAATAATAATAATAATAATAATAATGTCCCCCCCCTGCGACGGCTCCTGCCCAGCCGCCTAATGCGCCCAGCGTGGACACTCCGTCGCGAACACCAGCAGCACGACGAGGAGCAGCACGACGGGCTCCCCACAGCCTGACGGTGTGCAGCACGGCGGACTCCAGCAGCAACGAGCAGGTGGCCGAGATCTTCGTTTCCTGAGCGTGTCCTGGTGGTCTCCCGAGCGCCCTCGCGTCTTTTCATTATGTATTGATTTCCTCGATTATCCCCTTTCCTTCTTCCTCCTCCCGCCCCTTCGTGGGCCTTGTTAGGTATGATTTTCTGTTGCACGTGTGCATAGCCCGGCACTCCTGCTGGGCGGGCCGCTGTTGTTCAGCGAGCCTCCAGCGCCCACCGGTCGGGGTTGGCTTTGTCTTGGCGCATGTCATGGGTATGTGTTTCCTCTGCCCCGCGCCCCTGGCCTCCTTCCTCTTTCCTCGTTCGGCTTCTTTATTCTGCTCGCATAGGAATGGTGCGAGCGCCGTTGGCGAAGCCCGGCGTGTATTTATATATATATATATATACATGCGTGTGTGAAGATAAGCGCACGCGCGGGTTCTTCCGCCCCTCGTTCCTCGCTCTTCTCCTACTGTCCTTCGGCCTGATGTAGTGTTGGATTTCTGCATTGGCCGCTCGGGCCATTTGGGGCTTGTGATCAACACCGCTCCTATCAGGGTGATGCTGTTTTAAATGTACTTCGTATCTTCATGCCTGTAGGAGTTCATCATCCACTCCTCTTTTTGTTCCGCCTCCTCCTCCTCCTCCTCCTCCCCCTCCTCCTTGAATGTGGCGACGTTTACCCGGCCGGCCACTTTCGGCCTCTGCCGACTTGGAGCTTCACAGCGTTTCGAGCCCTTGCCCGCGCTCGTTGCCAGGGGGTGGCAGCAACTCTTCAATTGGAGTGGTTGCAGCCCCCTTCAGGGGAAGCGGATTCGATACGCAGTCGGAACGGGGGATGTTGCGCATGGGCGTTTGCGGTGGCCAAAAAATATCCTCCCCCGTCTTCGTCCTCATCCATCCTCCTCCCCCCCAGTTTGATCTGAGGCCAGAGGTGGAGATGGTGACATCTCGAAGGATCGGCGCTCTTCGCGTCAGGGTCGAGGTTTTCGGGGGCTTCTCGTCGCCACGGCCGGGATCCGCCCTGGTGCTCTGGCCAAGCCGCATCCCTGGAGAGGTCCGGGCCCGGTTGTGACCCGCGAGCCCAGGCACCCTCGCGTCGTGAAGGGAAAGCCCGGGGGAGACGGGATCGGGATCTTCCGGGGGCCCACGCTGCAAGAAGAAGAGCCACAGCGTCGGGGATCCGGCGGCGGAGGAAGGAGGGAGGAGGGAGGAGGAGGCAAGGGAAGAGGGGAGAGAGGCACGATGGAGGGGGGGTGGTAGGAAGGAGACGGTGCCCACTGTTTCCAGAATCTGCAGCTCTGTCTGCTGGTGGACGGCGCTCCGGAGAGCGCTCGACTCCCCCTGGAAGCGCTGCCGCCCCATCACGTCCCCCGCGCGACGGTGGAGTCTCGACCTTGGAGGCCGCTGACGAGGGGCAGCGACGAGGGGGGACTGGCACAGGGGGGATGCACCGACCTGGAAGCGGCGATGCGTCGCCGACAGGTCGGCGGCGTGTCCCCGAGGGCGGAGCCTCGCCCGAGTCCTGGGCGGGCTGAGGCCAGCAGCCCCCTCGCGGCGATCAGTGGGCGATTAGGGGTCGATGCGTCCCCCTTGCGCTTCGCGTTCCTGGGCATGTCATTGGTTGTTAACTCGTCATTGCCACCGGTCCCGATTTGAAAAAAAAGGGGGGTCGATGCGTCCCCCCCCTATGCCCCTTCCCCCCTGTCGTTGCCCCTGGGTTGAGCCTCCGAGTTCCTGCCCCCCCGCCAGGGGATGTGGTCCAGCGTGCTGTCCCGAAGCGAGCAGCTCGACGCCGGCCCGCCCGAGGCCCTCCCCCAGGAGGTGCTCCCCGCAGCGCTACCCAAGGCTCGGGCCGGACGAAAAGGTAGGCTCGGGCTCGGGCTGGGCGTTTTCGTTTCACGCGGACTCTCGGAGGGAGTCTTCGTTGCTCGCCTGGTTTGTTCTCGCCTCGGGGTGTTTCTCAGCAGCTGCGCCTCGTCGAGAGCTTGCGTTGCGCCTGGATCGCCCCGAACGGCCACCAGAACAAGGGTTCTGACCAGAAAGCCAGACGGCGAGGATCACCAGGGACGGAAGAAAGGGGTGGAAAGGGAAAGGGGGCGGTGCGAAATCTGTTGCATGCGGCTGCTTTCCGCCCCCGCCACCAGGCCCATTCCTCGATACACGGGCGCCTCCCGGCGCCAGGAGTCCCCCCCGAGAGGCGGCCCCGGACCACGACGCGCTCACCACCGTCGTGAACGCGGCCATTGCGACGCACCTGTTCGAGCACCTGTCGCGCATGGACAGCATGGAGGAGCAGGCCTCGCGGCGCAGCCCGCGCGCCCCGCCCGCAGACCGACGCCTCCCGCGCACCGTCGGGCCCTCCTTGGGGCCACCTGCCCGCAGAGGTACATCGAGCTCCGAGGATCGAGGTTTTGCGTGGGGCGCCTTCGGCCCTTCTTCCTCCTCCTCCTCCTGCCTCCTCCTCCTCCTCCTCCTCCTCCTCCTCCTCCTCCTCCTCCTCCTCCTCCTCCTCCTCCTCCTCCTCCTCCTCCTCCTCCTCCTCCTCCTCCTCCTCCTCCTCCTCCTCCTCCTCATGCCTCCTCCCCCTCCAGCGCCACCTGGCACGAGCATCGGCTTCCCCGCCAGCCAGCGCCACTGGCGCCACTCGCGCCGCTCCCACCCCTCCTCCGCCCCTCTTCTCGGCGGCGGCGTGATGGCGGCGCGGCCTGCGGCTGTCGGGCGCCGCCGACGCCCGCCGCGGCTGGCAGCCGCGCGCAGTACGCGCGGGCCGACGCCCGCGCCGCCGAACTCCGCGGCCCTACCACCGAGGCCGGCAACGATCGCGGCTGGCCCAGGCCCCGGCCGAGGCTCCGGCGGCGGCATCGCCCGCCGCCCCCGCAGCTCCCGCGGCGCGAGGGCCGGCGCGGTTGGCCACCCCCGGAGGCCGGCGCGCAGGCGGGCCCGCCAGGCGTCGAGGCGTCGGCTTCCCCGCGCCAGCCCAGGGGGTCGGCCCGCAGCGGTGGCCAGCCTCCCTTTTGGGGCGGCGGGCCCGGCAGGCCCACCGCAGGCCGCCGAGCGCTGTCGCCCGGCAGTGCTGCTGCTGCTGCGCCCACCGCGGGCCCGGGCGCCTGCGGCCGCGCTCCGTGGCGCCACTCGCGCCTCCTGCACGTGCAAGCGTCGCGGCAGCTGGTGCTCTTGTTGCGGCCGCGCCCTCCTGGTCGCCCACGAGTGGGAAGCCAGGAGGCTCGCTGATGTGTCTGGCTTTCTGCCACGCCCACAGTGACCCAGCTGCTCCAGGCACAGACGGCGGACTGGTCCCTTCAGACAGTCGAGCGGCAGGTCGGACTCGGCCTGTCCCGGTGCTCATTGTTCAGCCACGCGTGCGTTTCTGCGTTGATGTTTCGACACGTCCATCAGCTTTCTTATTTGCATTCACACATCAAAATGTCCCAAACTTGTTTTTCCAGTTAGAGTTTTTTCTGGTACCCGTTCCTGCCTGGTGGGGACTCCCCCTACTCACTCGCTCCCCCGCTCTGGAGACGGCATTGGCAGCTCGTGTGTTATACAGTCTTCGGTACCTTGAGCGCTTTGGTTTGACTAGCCAGTCCACTAGTGGTGCGGCAATGCCTCAGCTGCGCGTTCTGCATTTTCCGCATTCGTGCCTGGATTCTCTGTGCGGCCTTCACCCGTTCCTGCCTTGTGGGGACTCCCCCAACTCTCCGCCCCCCCGCTCGGTAGCACGCATGCTGCTGAAGCAGATCAGCCACTTACCCGATGGAGTCCGATTATCAGAGTTACTGCTTACTAGTGGGGCAGGTGTTTACTGGACGCGCCGAAGGCGCCACGAGGAGCTGAAAGGCTACTACGAAGGCGGCAACGTGTGCGACAGATGCCGATAGCATCCAGAGACGACCGCACATCGGATGTGGAAATGTGAGAGCAGTGCAGGTGCATCCCCGTACTCTCGTTCCGATGCACTTGTTCCAGAGGCGCTGGCGCAGGGGGATCTGGCTCACTATTTCTGGTTTCGCGGCCTCGTCTCACGAGTGGACGGAGGTCCCCGAGCCCCTGAAAGAGACCAGCCTGGAGTACGTGGACATCGACAAGGTGACCCAGTGAGTTGTTGGCGAAGGTAGCGCGAACACTTCAGTGGAGACTTTCGGCGATGCGAGCGGGGGAGCAGACGCAGGCATCACTTAGTTCACTCGAGTCGGTGTTGAAAGTGCGTGCATGGCCAGCCTCTTGCCCGATATCCAGTTCCATGGGACAGTCTTTGGCCCCCTGGGCGGCCCTGGGCAAGTGGTGGCAAGAGGCGAACTGTATGCTGTGTATTTGGCCCTGCGGTGTTCATCCCGATTTCTTACATATGTGACAGACTGCAGGTGCGTTGCTGCAGGATGGCATGCCAAACAATACTTCGATCCAGCAGGTGACGACGCGGATCTGTGGAAGTTGATTGGACACTTGATGGTGGATCGCTTGCACTGAAGTTGCGGAAAGGTGGACACACCCACACCTCACCGCTGCAGACGTGGCCGAACGACGTGCCAACCGCTACATGGTCATCGGCAACCTCCTGGCCGACGAGTTCCCAGGCTTCGCCGCTGCTAAAGACAGGCGACCCGCGTCAATCCGCCACCAGGTGCACCTGTGGGACAGGAAAACGCTCCTCATTCACACGCGGCTCCCGCGAGCCACCTTAGACAGTATCAAAGCCAGCCAGGAAGTTGATGGGGGGGATCTTATTTCATATACATTTATATTATCATGTAGAAGGGGGGTATCTTTTCGCCGATGATAGGGCCGCGAATCCATGTCGCGGGGGGGTGGGCCCACGCTACGCACACCCTGAATGTTCATCCGACCCTCAGATTTGACGTTGGACTGAGCGTCGGGCTATTGCCGATAAGGCGTTGCGGACCCTCAAAGACCTTCGCTCCAACAGGAAGTCTGCCACGGCTACAGCGCATTTCGACAGGATTGTCAGCGGGTTTAACCCCAAAGTCCTGAGCCGAGCTGAGCAATCGACCCAGCGATCGAATACTCTCCAGTCCAGATGTTCCTAGATCTCTGAGCCTGCATCGCAGCGGTATCCACTCCGCTCCACTCCTCTCCACGCCACTCCGCTCTACTCCTTCTGCTCCTCCTCCTCCTCCTCTTTCTCCTCCTTCTCCTCCTCCCCCTCCCCCTCCTCCTCCTCCTCCTCCTCCTCCTCCTCCTCCTCCTCCCCCTCCTCCTCCCCCTTGCATCGGACCGGGCAAAGGGCACTTGCATGTGGCTATGACGACGTACAACGTGTTCGTGTTACCAGTCTTTTCATTCGTTGCCCAGCTCGAGCAGCCTCCGCAGTCTGCCTTGGATATGGAAGTGGCCGCGGTCCGCACAGTGGCGCCGGGGCCAGGTTGGTGGCACACGCTTGCAGGCATTCACCATGCAACGGAGCTTGGCCCATCTACACGCATGCGACACCATTCTGGTCCTTGCCGAGCGGCCACGCTGCGAACACGCTTTTGGGAACCACGCCCTTCTGGCAGCATCCCATGAAACCAACTAGCGCGAGAGCTGGCGGACGTGAGTTCCCGATCCGACCAAGTGGTTATCCATGGACACTGGTGTGCATGGTTTGCTGAACACATACCGACAGTGGTGAATGACACTGTTCCCGCGCAGGCAGCGGCGGGGGTCCATATCAGCGCTGCTCGGGCTGTCCTGGGCGGCGTCGCGGTCGGCCCGCTCGCGCTGCAAGCAGACCGACGTTTCAAGCGGGGGACGCAACGATGGCTCACTGAGCGACAACTCTGACATGACAGCCACTGCGTGGATGGGGCGTTTGCGAGTGAGGCCGGCGAGATGATGGCTCTCAGATCTCCAGGGCCGGACGGCGCGGCGAGTCGCTTGCCAACTGGGCCGGCTGCGCCGGCTGGCACCGCCCAGGATGTGCGCGGCGACTTCGAGCACAGTCTTCAACAGATGGACAACAGAGCGACGGATGTGGAGCTTTCGGGGGCGCCAGGGCCCGCGCGTATTCGAGTGCTGCGCGGTCGCGGCCGACTCGATCGAACACCATGCCCGCTGCCCCGCGCGGGCCCGGCGGCAGCGCGGGCGCCTTGGACGAGAGGCCGCCCGCCACGGCCTGCCCCGCGGCATGTTGGGTGTCAATGTGACTGATGAGACTCTCTGCATTCAGGCTGTCTCCACCGATTGTCTGCATCGCGCCGTCAGCATGGCGCGCGGGCGCGCTTTCCAAAACGCAGGCGCCCAGAGCGCATACATTCGGCATGCCTGGACCAACTGCTGCACGAGGCATGCAGGGGGCACTCCAGACTGCGACGCATGTGCGGCGCGGCCGGCGGCAACTACTCGCGGCAGCGCGACCGGGAGGCTGACGGCGCTCCGCGGCGAGTCCGGCGCCAGATTCGCTGAATTTCCACCTCTCTAGGCCTGGGCGTGTCCCAAAGGGGCCACCCCGTCGACGGCCACCTCACGAGCCGACTTTGCGCTCTCCCCGACGCTCTTGCCGACGCCCTACCCGTCGCCCTTCCCGACGGCCCTCCCTGACGCCCTTTCCCCCGACCTCCACTCTCCAACATCCGACTTCCCAACCCCACGGACCATTGCCTCCGCCGTTTAATTGTCCGACCTCCAGCCCCCAGCACTCAGCTTTCCAGGGCACTCCCGCATCCACCCATCGACCTGCCGCCTCCACCCATTTGGCACCTCGACCTCAGGCCTACAACATCCGACGTCGCATTCCCACTTCCACCTCTACCATGTTCGACTGTCGACTATCGACAACCACGCCTCTGGTGGATACTTGTCCCTCCTGCTCCGGCTTCGTGTCCTACCCCACTTCCGACTCCGATTCCGGCCCAAGACCCGACGCCGGTACGATGTGGAGCAGTCCGGCGCCCACGAGCAACACAACGCTGGAAACCGTGCCAAGTTTGATTTTCTGTGGCTCCAGTTCAGAATGCTTGGGCCGGATCAGTAGTTGGAGCCGTTCTTTGTTGATCTCCGGTTCGACCTCACAGTGGCGCTTGGAGAGGTTCGCATCAAACGAAGATTTTCACAGGAGTTGCATGTGCTTCGATTGCGGATGGCGGTCTGTGCGTGATCCGTTTGGGTTTCGCCTTCAACGTCGTGGGAACGCCTACCGATCTCGGAAGGAAGCTTTCGACCCCGACGAGCTGATGAAGTTGACACAAGAGTCGTCCAGGGATATTGGTACAGACGGCGATGACAATCTCTATAGGCACGCGTTTCTGATGTTATGGCTCATCATGTTGTGGCTAATTCTGAAGGAGGCGTTGAACTCCA